GGAGAGGAGAGATAAGAAGAACAGGATGTAGGAGGGAGGAGAATTATTAGTTAATAAATTTTACCTTCTAAATCACTGAAATTCAAAAGTACCAAGGATGGCAATATCATGGCTAATGTTCAAAAATTGGCTAATGTCAAACATTTCCAGTGAATTATAATCATAAGGGGTTATTCAAAGTTCAGCATAAATCAAAACACTAGAAAATATCCACTTGCCATGTTTAATTTATAAGGTCAACTGAAGGTAAAATCCATATAGCTTCACATTTTTTTCAAGCTTTTTGGTAGAAATTAAAAATTACACTCTCAGACTACCTAATAATTGCTTCATTATTGAACATTAACCCACAACAAATTACTTGCACTAATTTAGGAGTCTTAAATTTGCAATTTTTTTCTGAAACAATAAATACTACCTCTTACACAATGCATATGAGCACATTACATTAATTAATTTTTAATACTTACTAAACTTTCATATAAACACTAAAAATGAGAATACGATTTAGTAGCTTAGTCTTTAAAATATGAAATTTTTTAAAAGCTGGAAAAACAGGAAGATCTGCTGTAGTAAGTTGACTATAGTGATGCCCTATAATAAAAGGCATATGAAAATACGATTCACAAAGAAAGAAATAACAGGGCATTATGATTAAAAGGAGTAAGATCTGGGGCTTGGGCTGGGGATGTGGCTCAAGCAGCAGCACTCTCACCTGGCATGCGCAGGGCGCTGGGTTCGATCCTCAGCACCACATAAAAAGTAAAGATGTTGTGTCCACTGAAAACTAAACAATGAATATTAAAAAAATTCTCTCTCTCTCTAAAAAAAAAAAAAAAAAAGATCTGGGGCCTGACTGCTTGAATTCAAATTCCATTTTACCATATACTAGTAGTGTGATCTTGGACTAGTAACTTGACCTCTCTGTGCCTGTTTCCTCACTTCTAAAATTAGGGTCATAATTCTACCTACTTCATATTGTTCTTATGAGGAATGCAGGAGCTAATAAATATAAGGCAATTAGAACAGGGCCTATTAGGGTTTACTAGCACATAACACTCAATAAATGTTACCTATTATTATTATATTTATATTAATGTTAGTATTAATATATTAATATTTCATGAAGACAATATTCTGAGGAATAAAAACATCACACATAATATCACACTAGGAAACTGAAAACCAAAATATAACTAAGGTATGATGTAGAAATCTCATCTAAAACCTGGTGAGAATTAAGCTATAAAAACTTAAAACCAAGTTCTGATGAGTTAAGTTGTGCAAAAACAGAGTAGTCACGCCATAATATTAATGCTCTTGACAGATTACATGCTTCATTGTTTTCCATGACCTAATCCTATAAGGCATGAAGTTAGTTACACAGGAACCAGTGAATTTTCCAGTATGGTACACATACCAGGCAGGATTTTAATGAATTACTACACAGGGTAATGCCTAGGTATATTTGAGACTAATGAATACTCTACCTCTATTCAAATCAAAGCCACAAAGGCTACTACACTAAAATCTAAGGAAAAATTTACAATGTGCATATTTATTGTCATCCCTGTTATTTTCTCTTTTCCCTTTGCCCCAATCTAATTTAAAATGCCTTTCATGGAGAAGAATTTCCACATTGCTCTTTGGCCATAGCACTGACTTGTAGAACTCAGCTTCTTCATTTCAGGTAGAAAAACTGCTATGGTTTGGAATGTGAATTGTCCCCCAAAAGTTCATGAGTGAGACAATGCAAAAAAAGGTTAGAGGTGAAATGACTGGGTTATGAGAGCCTTAAATTAACCAGTGAATTAATCATCTGATAGGAATTAATGAGGTGGTAACTGGAGGCAAGTAGGGTGTAAATGGAGGAGGTGGGTCTTTGGATCCTGCCTTTGGAGTTTATATTTTATCCTTGGTGTGAAGAGAACTCTTTATCTACTTCCTAGTGTTATGTCCTGAGCCTCTTTCCTTCACCACACTCTTCCACCAAGATGTTCTGCCTCACCTCAGGCCCCAAGAAATGGAGTCAGCCACTATTGCCTAAAACCTCTGAAACAAAGAGCACCAAAATAAATTTTTGTCTTCTAATTGTTCTTGTCAGGTCTTTCGGTTCCAGCAATGGAAAAAGCTACTAAAACAAAGGCATGCTTTTTTTCTTTGATCAGCTATGCAACTTCTATCAATATTCTGAATCACTGACCTGTGCAGTCAGCCACCCCATCATTCCATGGACAGATTCAAGATCCTTTATCTTGCTCACTCATATTTTCCTAAAGTTCTTCTCATTTATGTAAAAAGCATGCTTCTGCCCAATAATCCACAACTGGGTAATTCACATATGGCTCATCAAGAGTTGGCTGCATTTTAGAATGCAATTTTACAATTAAATTTAGACTCCACTAAACAAAGCCTTTTTTCTTAAAATAACTAGGTAGTTAAAAACGGATAAAGTTCAAACATTGTTTTATGGCATAATCTTTGAGGATAGTGTTTAAAACTTTGTGTTCATTTTCTAAATCAGATGATGGTAAATAATACATTTCCACAATAATATAACATTTTCTACTTCTCACACATTAATTCACTTAATCTACACAATTCTTCTAGCTAGACGTTATAATCCCCATTTTATAGATAAGAAACTACATAAGCATCAATGGAACAGATGTACATAATTTTGCCAGGCTCTTCAGTAAGTTGTTATTCTTGAGAAAAACCCATAGTAAGGAAAGTGGTTAACTGAAATTAATATTCCAAGATAAAAGTACAATCTCTTCACTGCTGAGAATGAACAACCTGGATGCTCTACCACGCTAATACTTTCTCCTTGTGACTAAAATTTTCCTACCTTACTTCTTACGCTAAATATGCTAAGCAGGAATCTGCAACCTAATAAATTCATTCAGGACACATTGAATACAGTAATAGCAGGGAACGCGGCCTTTCATGGCTTCTGCCAAACCTCTGTCTGGCCTTGCAAAAAATATTCTTGAACTTTGGAATTTATTACCTAATTACAACAAGAGATGGCATAATCGATTAATTAACTTGCACAAAACCAAATTTTAAATTGTGTTTACCTGTCATCTGAATGTCATAACGGATAACAATTTTACGTACCACTGACAAATGGTGAAAAGGTGCTAAGCCCATCTGTGAGTATACTTAAGATTAAACTTAAGAAAAACATTCAATTTAAAATTTAAAACTGACTGTTCTTTCTTCCAAGGTTTAGCTTCAGAAATAAATAAGGTGAACCCTTTCACTTAAATCAAAATAACATTCAGGGGATAAGGCGTTGTAGCTCAGCTCAGTGGTAGAATACTCAGCTAGTATCCAAGAAACCCGGTTCTAGTCCTCAGCAACACACACACACACACACACACACACACACACACACAGAGAGAGATTTAAGAGATTATGTATTTTTTTCTATCAGTTTTCCAAGAAACACAAAGGCAAGCAGAATATTTAATACTATTTTGCATGGAAATTATTTCATATAATTTGTGTAGATATAAATAAATGTATGTGTGCCAATGATTATGAGGAATCTGAGGAGAAAAAACAAACCTAAAACTTTATAAATAAAGCAATAGAAGTTAGAATGCATACCTATACAGATGCAGTGAAGAAAAAAAAATTCCACTTTTTTTTTAAAGTATAAAGCACAGAGCTGATAAAGGGATATTCCTGTCAACTAGGGATTAAAGTAATAAGCACTATCAAGGGATTTTTGTTTTTTCATCCTTCATTGAAGTTTTATTTTTTAAATTTTGAAACATTTCTTTTAATATCTATGATATTCAAACTATAAAACTTGCAGAAAATGTCCATGAGAAAGTAAAAGCAACCATTAGGATGTAAATACTTACTGTATAAAAGAATGCAAATACATAGAATCCTATGATAATGGAAAAGTAGCTGAACATCTGAGACCATATCTGAAAGATGCTTTCTAAGTTAAATCCTAGTTATCAGAATGGTTAACAAATGCCCATTCAATTTGTGCATCCAAATTCAATTAATTTTGGCTAATCTAAACTTTATTATTGAACAAATATTTATAAACCACTTACTAGATGGTAGATAATAGGGCTACAATGGGAAGGGGAGAAAAGAGACAGCCCCTGCTACTTGCTTTATGTGCCCTAGTATTAACCAATATGTAAACTTCCAGAATTCTACCATATTGATATTTCTTGATAAAAATATTTTCCAAAATATTCATTTGGAATCACCAACTCACAATTCAATAATACTCCAATAATACTCCAAAAAGTAATTCTAACAACATAGAGGGTTATCTGGCACAGAAATATGCTAGCAAAAATGAAATACATATAATCTATTTCAGCACCTTTAAATCACACTTACAAAAAAAGAATTTAATGTTCTGACATAATGCTCAAAGTATTTTTCTTTTAATTTGTTCCCAATTGCCTTATTGTATTTAAAAAAAATTGATTTTTACAACACTGGCATTCTATGTATCTCAACAGAGGACATTTTGCTTTATCAAACCACACTGTTTTAGGAAGCACTAAAGTATTAAAATATGCATCTAAAGAGGTAAAAGGCTTTTTGCTAACAGTTTTAATTCTCCCAATCAGAAGTCTAAAAACACAGCAGTAACTGGTAAACTGTATAACATGATCTTTCACCTCCCTTCCAAAAGGGAGGCAGTAACTTTAGTTGGAACCAGAGTGATTGTAAGTATGTAAATGCATAGGTGTTATATATATATTAATAAAAACATGTAATCTCGCCAAGAATATTTCTACTTATTCATTGAGATTAATAGGTGAGCACTATGAGAGCAACTGATTTTAAAGGTAATGATTGGAAGTATCATATCCCTTCTTTGGGATTCAGTTTTGCTTAAGTCAAAATAGGTACCTTAAACAATTGCTACTTCACATAATATAAACCAAACCAAAACAGAAACAGAAACAACCACCAGCAAATCAAATCAACCTCTATACAGGCTCTTTTACCTGGTAATCCAGAATGCTGAACCCCAAGCCTTTATGGTCTTTCACTAGCTCAACAATCTTGACTTCAGGAGCCCACAAAGCTAATTCCCCATCATCCTCATCTTCAGGACTGACATCTATCCTGTTTTCAACCTGAAAAACCAAAGAAGATAATTGCTTCCAAACAGTCCTTTCTTTCCTGAAAAGAATGAAAATATTAGGAATCTCACAGCTTATTTTCAAATTGGGAATTCTCTTTGACATGAGTTTTCCTTCTTGTTCTTTTAAAAAAGGGCATGCACCAGGCACACACAATTTAGGATGAGACAGATGGTCTTAAAAATTCAAGCATTTAAAAATGCAGATTGTCCATACAATGTTTTTTTTAATGTAAAATATATTTTTCATTGAAAGTATTAACACTAACCTCTTATACTTCAATGAGTTCTGTCATCCCATTAGAAGCATAAAAGGAAAAATATGCAATTTAAGTAAAAACAAAAACATCACATAAACTAGAAACATACAAGATATTTAAAAAGCAATATCTAGATTCATAATTATAATGAAAGACAGAAAACAATGTCAACACAGAGAGAAGCCAGCGCAGGACACAGAGAAATCACTCCTGTTGAGTCCTTTCAATAAAAACTTCGCTAGCTAATAAATGTCACAGTTTTACAATTCACAGGGGGATTTCACTAGAAAAGTTAGAAAAAAGAAATCCAAGTCCTTAAGCATTGTGTGATTCTAAAAATATGTAAAAATCAACATTATCATTTAGATCTGCAATGTCCCAAAGGTTCAGATGTTGAAGGCTTGGTCCCCAATGCAGCAATGGTCAGACGTGGGGCTTAGGGGAAGTGACTGAATTCCAAGGGCTCTGACCTCATCAGTGAATTAATCCACCACTAGCTCCATAATTTAATGGCATTATTAGAGGTGGTGGAGAATGTAAGAGGTAGGGCCAAGTTAGAGGCAGTAGGCCACTGGGGGCATGCCCTTCAGGGGTGTATCTTGCCCCTGGCCCCTTGCTTGCTATCTCTCTGCTTCCTGGCCATCATAAACTGAACAGCTTTTCTCCAATGCCCTTCTTCCATGATGTTCTGCCTCACCACAGGCTCAAAACAATGGAGCTGGCAGACCTTGAATTGAAACCTCTGAAACTGTGAACCAAAATAAAGTTTTCTTCCTTTAACCTCTTCTGCTTAGGTATTTTGACACAGTGACTGAAAGCTATCACAATCACTGAGTTGAAATAATGAAAATCTGATCTTAGAGGAAAGGCCAGCCCAAGTGCCTACCATACTTTTCTTGACTTGACAACCCAAAGTCTTTTATTCCAGACTTCCTGTCCTTGCAGGAAGAATAGCCACAGCTATGTGGAATTCCAGGAAGCTAAACAAAAAGATCAATGAGTCCACTATGCAGGGGGACAATGCCTACTTCATAACCCTTGTGTTTTTATTTATAGCATTATATTGTTGTCATCCAGTTTATCTTCCCCAACATAACTCTGACCTTTTGCGTAACACTCAAGAAATACCTCCTTTTGCTTTATGGCCCTCACAACTAACAAAAAGCCTGGCTCCTGGACTAGAATGGAGGCTCTGCAAGGGCTCCTGCAGACTGCCACTTGACTCCTACTGCCTGCCTGCACTGGATAAATATCTGTCCAATGCATTAATTAATCATCTACTTTTGAGTGTGTTTCTCTTAAAACTCCTTCTTGGTAAAGTTATATACTAAATAACAAGTTTTAAAAGCAGATTTCTTGAAATTTTGGGTTTGTTCTCAGAATATAAAATGAAAATGTATCATTTCTACTAATATAATTTTGAGTGACCCATATAAGAAAACTCATTTAATTGAATCAAAGGAAGGGAGGCAGAGTCTATAATTTAAAGAGGAAGGCACCACAGTTAGTACAAAAACATTCTTATGCAGGGCCTGGCAGCCTATGCCTATAATACCAGTGACTAAGGAGGTTGAGGCAGAAGGGCAGGAGAATTACAAGTTCAAGGCCAACCTCATCAACTTAGTAAGACCCTGTCTCAAAAAATAAAAAGGACTGAAGATGTGACTCAGTGGTAAAGAACCCCTGAATTAATCCCCAGTTTCCAACCCCCCAAAATTAGGACTGGTCCAGATGCAAGTTGCTTGTAGGACATGGAAGATCAACACCCAGTCCATGGAAGATGGAATCTGAACGTAGGAACAATTTCCTTGTTCTTAGATTATATAACCTGAAATAAGTAGAAACGTTCTAGATCAATAACCTCTGCATATTTCATCCTGATATGATGAAGTGATATAGTTAAAAAGAAAACACTCATATCTTCCAATAAAATGCACAGTTCCAATGGCTAATACAATATGATTGATGTCTTACTGGGAACTTAATACCCTCACTGATTAATGAGTGTTTGAATTTTGGCTGAGCCACCTAACCAGATAGTTTAATAAAATAAGATGGTATCAGTATAAGTGAAAAAAGAGATAGATGGGAAAAGAAAGTCAGGACTTTAGGAAACCACATACAATTAACACAAGTTTGTAGAAATTTCAAGGCATCCCAGGTACATAAGATATCATGCAACAACTGGAAATATATCACTTTGATATAATCAATTTTGCATAATTCTTATATTTACAAAATGGAAAGCAATCAACTAATGGGCAGCCAGGTTGACATTTGGCATAATTCAAGCTGTTGTTCACCCATTGTGGTAAAGCATGACAGATGGGAGCACAGAGTCAGCAAGCTGGGTTGGTGATTTACACACCCTATAGGATTAGATTAAAGGCATTTTTATCAGCCCTCAAAGGGAAGCCACCACCCATATTTCATTTCATTAAGGAGAGCAAGTCACAAAAGTTTGGCATTTGAGTTCCATACTTGATTTTTTTTTTCTTTTTGCAAAAGATAAACATTAAAAAAAAAAAGATTGTCAATCAATTATCAAAAAATTTCCTTTTTATTTGCCCAGTACAGAATAAAAGCATTATGAGATAATAAAAAATAATAATAATTTTAAGAGTTGGCCTCTGACCACGAGGAACTGACAGTCTTCTTGGAAAAACAAGATGGATATATACTGACGGATCTGTGACTGTAAGTTAGTACTAGATTCCAATGTACTTTAGAAAATCAGAAAACAAAGATTGGTGGACTGCAGCAGTCAAAAAAAGTGATCACTAACTTTTGTGGCGTACTTTCCACACTCAAGCCATCACAGGAAGGTCTTTGCACATATTATTTATTTTGCACATTTATTGCTTCTTACATAAATGCATGAGATGTGTAAGTTCTAATCAGGGCACCATTTTTCAGAAGAATATGAAGAGAAAACAAGGTTATTTTCCCAAGATTCATGAATATTAAGTGCTAAAGGCAGGATTAGAGTTCATGTAATTTGAAATCCTGACCAAAGGCAGGTAGAAAGGAAGCCCGTGCATCTAAACTGGTATGAATGGAATTATAACCTAAGCGTCTGGAAACATGAGAAGTGGCACAAACATGCAATTACCAAGGGCTCATGATGGCAAAATATGTGCTCAAAACTCTTTTTGAAATTACAATGCTCTTAGAAAGAGTTCCAACAGCAGATAAAGTTATTTCATTCTCTGGTCTTCTAAAAGTTTTTATGGCAACTTTTAGACTCACTTCAAAACTGATCACACATCTTCTTATTTTTAAGGCTCTGAGAAAGAAAAGATCATTAGATATTCAACATCCACCAAAATCTTAACCTTATTAAGATGAATTGAGTTGAACCAGGAGCCAAAAGCAATGAGTGCAGTCAATTACTAAAATCAAAATGCATGCACATCAATGTCACCAACACTTTGAGGAAAAGAGTTTTAGGATGGTAAGTGAAAATAATAACCTGAAAAGTGATGCACTGTTTGCCTCAGTCAAATATAAAGGAGTAGAGCAGGGTTGGTCCTCCTCTCTTAACCCTGTAGTACCTTCTTTGGGGTATCCTTACTGAATGTGCATGCCTATGGGAAGTATAATATATGCATTCAGTACCTCCATCTCAGGAAGAGGGGTTTCAGTAGTCATTGGTTCATCTACAGAGGCTTCATCGTCAAATAGCCGCCGACAGCAAACCAAGGTAAAAGGGGGTGGCACTTCTTTAAGAAAGGAAACTGCTTCTCGGCGAGATTTTCCATAAAGCTGCACACCATTGACCTAGAAGGACAAGGGGTAAGTGATCATTGAAGAGGCCCCAAATGAAGAGACAAAAAATCTCTTGTTATCAATCTACCAGAATTTGAATGTTTAAAGACAGCATAAATGATATCCCAAAGGACCTAGTCATATTATCTCAATAGTCCCTAAAAATGTTAGAAATCCTATTTATCAAAATTAAGACTGAATCTTTACTGAACTTGAATGAATGAACTGTAAAACGTGTGCAGAGTACAACAGTTACTAGATGAGTGATCTGATTCTTCACAGCTCCACAGCTTCTCCTACGGGTGCGCCAGTATTGTGTTCTCTCATCTACTTCTACCTACCTCTCCTAAAATGCACTAAATATCACTTACAGCCTTATCAAGACCATTTCCTTTCACAGGAATAATAATATCACTATAGATGTTAACCCTAAACTTAAGACTGTTAAAAACTGCTCACCTTACAATGTGTAGGTGATAAAATCTTAGATGCATGGCTATCAAAATTTAACATCGGTTCAACATCCTTTCACTCTTAATACCATCCTAGAAAAATCGCTTCTATAGAAAAGGAATATGCATAACTTGCTCCAGTTCCATTCTTGTAAAGTTTTGCTGATGCAGCCATCAAGTTATGTAGGAAGTGTCAATTTCAAGTTATTTCATTCAAGTGTTTCATGTTTAAAAAAGAGAACTATTCCCTACTAATGATTAATCTTCCTCGTGAAAAATTATCCACATTCCATATCATTTAATAATACTTTGCACCAAAGATGATTTTAGAAAGATTACATTTATGACTTTAAAGAGTTCTCTCACTTCTGACTACTGGTCACTAAAAGCTAACCTGTCTGTTCCTCCCCAAAAGCTGAGGCATGGACAAAATTCAGGCACAATAATCTTTTCATATCTGACTCCTACCTTCCTGGGAGGGTTTAGCAACATTATTAGTTTTAATGAAATTTCTAGCTGGCATTAATTTCTGACAGGTATAGTGCTAATGTTCAGATAACTGACTGGGCCAACTTTACTGGGAACAGCCTTTCCACAGACCTGTCATTGCACCAGAGAATTTAAGTACATTGGGTTGCTGGAAGCATCTCATCAGCAGCGGGAGGAGTCTAGAGACATCATCCCTGGGAACCACTCTCAAGCCTGTAACCTACCCAGCACTTAGCCATCAGGCCAGACATTTCCCTGCCACTTAATTATTTACAAAGAAAGCACCACACGGTAGAGGGACCCACATGCACTTTAGGGAGCTGTCTCTACTGGAAAAATAAATATCACCTCCCCAGTTTTTACGACAATGAAGGGGTCCAGGGGACAGCAGGTTTGTCAGCAGACAAAAGGTTTTTCCTTGGAAGAACTGTAAGTCAACCTTTATGCAAGAAAGGGCTAAAAGGTACCCATCACTGGTCACACCATATCCATAGTACCAATTGATGATATAAGCACAAAAAGACCGAAAGTCACTTAAATGGGTAGCAACCCATATTAAAAATAGCAAGTAGATATGATCAAAGCAGGAATTCTACCCATACACAAGTATTATTTTGTGTTTCACTTCAACAAATTAGAAAGTCACTTCTCGGGTTTTTATCTTGGAGTACCTTTAAATATTTATTTAGCTCATTATTTATTAATTTGAATTGTCTCCAATTATTACAGCAGTGCCTGGTAGTCCTCCTCACTACTTTCTCTTACTAAAGGGATTGGTCACATTTCCCATTACCAACTCCTATCTAAGGGGATTTATGGCTATTGTAAACGGCTGCTCTGGGCTGAGACTTGGCACAGTGTTCTAACCCCAAAGCATATTTGTGTTTCTGGTTTTAAGCTCTAAGGAGTACATTACACACACACACACACACACACACACACACGTGTCAAGGACTTTATTTGGCTAATTTTACAGAGGCCTTCTATGTCTATATTCAGTTACTCAGAAGCAGCCAATTATTATTTTAAAATTCACAATATTTCTCAAGGTCCCTCAACTTGAGACCTTCTTAAAAGCTGTAAAGTCTCAATTATCCAACTCTTTTCATCAGAAAATGCACATGTGTATACACACTTCCAGAACACAGAATTTTGCCCAAGTGCTGTCACCCTATACTACCACCTTGAATCCTCATCTCAGCCCCCAAGCTTGTTAACATGACTTCGTCATGGGGATACTGAGGCCAGCTCTTCTCAGTAAGGTTAGGCTGTGTAGCGTACACGGATGGCATTTTGTTAGATCATCACAAACACATAGTGAAATGGCATTTAATGAAGAAATGGACTCCTCAAAATGTTAAGTGATGGGCTGGGGTCGTGGCTCAGGGGTACAGCACTTGCCTAGCATGTGGGAGGCACTGGGTCCTATTATCACTACTGCATATAAATAATAAATTAAATAAAGGTCCATCAACAGCTAAAAAATAGATTTTTTAAAAAAGTTAACTTACATGCCAAGAGACACAGGGCAAGTTGTGGCAAATTCAGAACCCAAAGGAGCTCTTCTGACTTTCAAACCTGGGTTTCCTTCCCTACCCTAAGTTCCTTCATGGGAAATCTGCATTTCAGAATTCAAAACACAACATTTTATTTTGGGGTGGAAGGCCCATGCATTCTAATCTCAGCTGAAGCATGGAACCTTCAGTTGATGGCTGGGATCACCTATACCTGCTCAATCCCAATCCAGCCAACGTTTCTTTAGCACAAATCACTTACTAGTAGTGATTAATACTTTGTGCCACTAAATTTTACACTTAAAAAGTTAAAATAGTAAATTTTCTGTTACATAAACTTTATTACCTAAAATAATAAAATGAACTAAGTTGGTTTAACTCATGCCTCACACCTCCCAAACATATCTCATTTCTCACCACCCAACAACTACATATAATAGCAATAGCCTTCAATCCACAGATTGTGGAATCCTCACTGCCCATATCCTGCCAACTAGCAGAGGAAGACCCAATCCCAGCATCAGAAAGAAAGCTAAATCATCTAGTAAAATTGAGGGCATGAATCTATAATAAGTAGCCCAAGATCACTTGTCAACACCTCTAAGATAACTAACTCTTGAGGAGATAAATATGTTGAACCTGACAAACATTATACAATGTATACATCTAACAAAACATCACTTGTTGCCCCATTAACTTTTTTTTTTTTTTTTTTTTTTTTTGAGACAAGGTCTTGCAAATTGCTGAGGCTGGCTTTGAACATGAGATCCTCCTGATTCAGCCTCCCAAACCACTGAGATTACAGATGTGTACCACCATGCCCACCCCACGTGTAAAATTTTAATGTTTTGTATCAATAAAAAATTTAAATTCAAAAAATAAGCAACTTTCCACATCTTAAAAAAAAGGACTCCAACACCCTGTCCTCCAACACTATGTCAGAAGTTGATAACCAGTCAAAGCACTCTTCCCTTTGACCTTGAAATTCAACCAAGAATTCTCAATATACTCCCTTAGGTGGGTGTACACTACAAACAAACTGTAATTGCACCCAACATGAAAACTATGTACCATCTTTGTCATTCGCTTTGAGCAAACATAAATTTTAAATAGAAGTCAGGGTCCATGAGAGTCTGATCTTGGCTAAGGCTATTAGGTTGATTTTGGTTTTTTTTGTTTTTTGTTTTAAACAAGGGATTGAACCTGCGGCGCTTAACCACTGAGCCATATCCCAACCCCTTTTTATGTTTTGTTTTGAGACAGGGTTTCACTAAGTTGCTGAAGCTGGTCTTTGAACTCGCCATCCTCCTGCCTCAGCTTCCTAAGCTGCTAGGATTATAGGAGTGTACCACAGTGCCTGGCTGTTGTAAATCCTAACTCTTGAAATAACCCTCTTCTCTGTAGTCTTCTTGCTTGGCTGTTCCTATATCTCTTTCAGAAGCTCAGGAGATAGTATGTTGTATTTGAAAAAAAAAACAACAACAATGAAATAGGGGTTAGGAAACACGAGCTAAAGTTAACATTCTACCACTAATTTTGTGTATAAAGTTGGGGAGTTAGCATCTTGTTTTCTTATCTGTAAAAGATGGGGTTTCGTGATTATTTTGTTTGTTAACACTGAATTTTCCAATTATTTAAATCTCTAGAGAAAATCATTTCAAAGCTACTATAGAACTTCTTTGAGGAGAGGCTCGGGAGCCTGAGCAAGCCCACTGGAGGCCACCCTGTGGATAGGGAGTTTTAAGCAGACTATCCCAAAAGCATCTACATGTAAGTCAACTGTACATGTGCCTGAAGTTGTTCAGCTCTAATCCTTATTAGAAATTATCAATGTATAAATGTGACTACGTGTTGCAAACACCTAGGGTCAGGGATTGGATTCTTAACATTTTGCTTAGAAAAAGACAAATTATGCTGTCAAACTCCTTTCTTAGTACATCATTTTGATACACATTAAAAAGGATATCTCAGTGAATGGATAAAGAAAATGTAGTACATATACACAATGGACTACACTCCCATAAAGAAGAATGAAATTATGGCATTTACCAGTAAATGGATGGAACTGAAGGCTATCAGGCTAAGTGAAATAAACCAATCCCCCCAAAAAAGGGACGAATGTTCTGATATGTGGATGCTGACTCAAAAATAGGTGGAGGGGAGAGATAAGTGGAGGTTCACCAGATTGGAACAGAGGGAAATGGGGGGAAGCAAAGGGGGATGGGAGAGACAGTAGAATAAAATGGACATAACTTTCCTGCATTCATTTATAAATACATGACCAGTGTAACTCTACATCATGTATAACCACAAGAATGGGAAGCTGTACTCCATATATAATGTATAATATCAAAATACATTCTACTATCATGTATAACTAAAAAGAATTTTTAAAAATTATTTTTTTTTAAAAAGGACCTCTGAGGAGCCTTAGCATATGGCAAAAATGAACTGATGGAGTGAAACTGGTTTCCTTTTGTCATCCAATTTACTCTGTTTTCCAATCTAAGAGGTTCACATTACATTGGCATTGGTGACACTGCAACTCAGTGGACACATTTGCCTAGAATTTTAAAATTTTGTGCTTGGTATCTTTCTTCCCCCATAAACTTTACCTCAAGAAGCTCATCCTCTAGCTGTAGAAGGTTCAGCATATCAACAGGACCACCGGGAACAATTGAAGAAATGTAATGGTGCCCATCAAAGGAATCCACTTCCACACCAAGCCTCAGAGTATGGATAGGCAGCAGCTATAGCAAGACACAGAGTGACATATTACACATGAGAGGACACAGATGAGTGTCAATCCTCCAACAAGTACCAATGTTGAGATGAAAACACCACCACCTGAATCAGATCACCAAACTCCCAAAAGAAGACAATAATGGGAAAAGCAGCCTCAAGTAAAATTATGAAGTTCTTGTTCTTGAAGTTCTTGTCTTTACTCCTATTTTCCTTACAGATTCCCTGGAAATGAAGAGACAGACTTACAAAGTTCTGTCTTCAATTTTAAGCTCCAGGTACCCCCACGATTTCTACAGTTCCTAGTATGTACACTGTGTTTCTCTTTTTTTACAGGGCTCACCAGCCCCAGAATATCTCTAACTCCCCTGTTTCATAAATAACTTCCATTCACACTTCAATATAAAAGCAATGTCATTTTCAGGAAGCTCTTAGTTAACCTGCCTCCATCAGGAGTTCGAGACCATTCTGTGCACATTTCTATCATGACTCACAAGTACTGCTTAGAATTCTATTTTCTTTGTTTCTCCCCTTCACACTTGAATGTCAAGTCTGTACCTTTAATCCCTATAGCCTGGGGCCTAGAACAGTTTCAGGCACTGAATATGGGCACACTGAAGGTTATTTGACCTAATCTGTAAAAGATGTCCTTTTCCATCTTGCTAATTTAAGTGATACCATTTCTGATTTGGGGACGACATTAACCATTCTAGGATTGATTCTGTTGATTTATAAGGATTTGTGTGGACTACGATATGAGTGAAGGATCTAGAAACTCTAGCCAATGTCAGAGAAAAGAGCTGACTACCTTTGTTGCTCTCATCTTTGTTGGTTGCAAAGGACAAGACATTCACCATATCCCCAAAATTTGAAAGATGGAGCTCATGATTTCTCATTGTGGCTATATATACTAAAAAATGGTAAATACTACTAATATATTTTCTAGATCAATCACCTATTTATCTAAACTAGCAGGGCTACCTCTATCTACCCATCTCCAGTGTGGCTTCTTCCCTCATTCTCCCTACAATCAGATTCCTCACCCCTGAGTTGTCACCTCCCCTCAGTCATCTGCTCTGAGTCCCCAGTGTTCCACCGGCTTGGTTCAGACACCATCTGAGGACTCATTTACATCCCACAACAGACATGCAGACAAATGTGAAGTGGCAAGTGGTCTAGCTGACTACGACCTGAGTGACTTAAAATAGGCATGAGGGACTTCTGGCCCTGGGCTAATTTTCTGAAAATGAAGTGCCCTTGACCACCAAGCACTCTGGGATGTAAAACCAACTCTGGCAATAAGATGTTCTACTACCCTAAGTGGAAGGTTAAAGTTATTTCCACTGCTATTCCCTCTCTGTGATTTCATTATTTCTCACTGCTGCCACCTCATTCTCTTGTCCAGTCACTGACCCAAGTCACATATATCAAGATAGGAGACACTCATGCCATTTTCTTTGATAGTATATTTAATGGAAGTAAGAACTCTCAGAGAAATCCACCCATCTCTGCCAACTGTCTTCCTTCCTTTGTTTATAAGCCAAACACTGCAGGGCAGAGAGTTGTCAGTGTCCACCCAGAGATCCCCTCCAGTGGGGTGCTGGAGCTGGCTCACACTGGCATGTGAAAGCAGATCATTCAATTTCTAGCAAAGTTGTGAGCCAGGTTATTAAACCTGGCCATTATTTAAAATTAAGTTGTATAAAATTATAATTAATACTAAAATAAATAAAATAAGAACTCAAAATCCATCAATTCATTATTTCTATGTTTTCCCACTATTTTCTCAAAGTGATTTATATCCATATGGTAGACATATTCTCTAAGACATCAGAGATACCGAAGCCGTGCACAACTGAAAAACACATTAGAAATAGTTGATTTGTGTAGTTGCTAAATGCAGGTAATTAAATAGTCCTGCTTCTGCAGAAGAGCCTAACAATGAAGTGCTACTGTGCATGGCTTCCCAACTCAGCAATAAATGATGTCACCTGATAGCTGGAAATTGGCCATGTCAGGGCACTCACACCACAGATATTGGTAAGTGCTACAACTGGGGCTGCCCTTCTTTTCTTGAGAGCTAGACATTTACCAGCACCTCATTGACATAACCACTGAGGGTCATGGCATAAGGACACAACACTGAAGGTCAGTCTGGAAAGGTGGCCAGTATAGGCTCTAAAAAGAAAGAGACATTTGAGGTGAGACTCAAAAGGATAAAATGAGTCTGCCCTACAAAAAGCCTTCTGGGAGACTGCTTATAGGAGGTGAGTGAAAAAGATAATTACTAAATTTTTTATGTGAATAAATGAGCAGATGGTGGTGACAATCTCTCCATGGAAATAAGTGCCCAAATTACGACAAAGACATGCTGTAGTTATAGAGACACCTTGGCTACTACAGAACAATATGCTACATCGAAATTAAAAAAGATAAGAAGGAAAGTGGTTCCAGTCTCCCCTTCCAGGCTTCCCCACCCAACCCACCCCTCCAACCCATCCTCATCTAGTCATATGGCTAACCCCATCCCCACCTCCAATGGAACACATGAAGTCAGGAACGAGCTAGGGCACTGAGGACTGGCAGAGGCTCACTTCTGGCATCCCTTACCCTCTGGATATGGGGCTGTGCCCTTCTAGGCTACTCCTGCAGATATCTGTGAACACCACATGCTCCCTAGAAAACTTAAACCACAAACAAAACACAAAAGCTTCATCTTCAACCATGCTGAACAAATAAACCAGAAATGATGTTTATGAGATCTGTCAATCTGAAGGAGGCCTACCTAATATTAGTTCTGAATCTAAATTTGAGTGCAGCTGGCTTTCTGAGACATCATGTTACATTGCTGCAGGCTTCTCCGCGGGAGCGGGACTGTTTAATTACCTGTCCCAGCTGCACTTAGCAACTAAACAAATCAACCATTTCATCTCTTTCAGTTGTCCACCCCTTTGGTATTCTGAGTTCTTTGAGAGGGGAAAGTGCTGAAATGACAGGAGTGGGTGCAACAGATGATTGATACCTTCACACACACCCATGTCATGCTTCTTGATGTTTATTCGATGCACTTCATGAGGGGTCCTATGGAAACTGACAAAGCTAATGAGCAGCAGGATTTTCATGATCCTGATATGACAGGTAAAGGATAGAAGGAAATGCATCCAAAAAGTGTGACCATTGTGTGATTTACTGTCACTGTTAAGATGAGGAAGGTCAACCGAGATCAAGAAAGCTAGAGGTCTTCAACCCAGGAGTAGAAAGACCTGTCATGAAACAAATGCATCCCATGCATTTCTCTAAAAGCTCTGCTTTTAGGATCCTAAAATAAGATATCAAAATGCTCATGTGGGAATATAAGTGCTATGGCTTCAGGGGGAGGAAAAACTTCTGGAAAGAAATGCTCCAAAGATGTGTCAGTTGGATGGGGGAGGACTTCCAAAAAAGTTGAACTCAAAATAAGAACACACCCCATGGCGGGTTCTTGCCACACATATACTCCCAGAGTGAAAATATTAAATAGCCATTGTGTTTAATGATTAGGGAGTAACTAATGTTTAAAGACTAGGTGGTTACTAAATTTACCATAAACAAAAAGCAACTTCCCAAGAATGAAGCTAAATGTTTAAAGTAATGATGAGCCACAAGCATAATGGCCACAAAGCTAATTGTGCTCACTCAGAGGTTATTCAAGACAATCAACTAAGCCATTAGAGCTTCATTTATACAGTATTTGTTTTTCCTCACTCCTTCTAAAATGTTAATTCTGAATGTTCAAAAAATATGTAGTATGTACTCTGTGGTACAGGATAATGAGAGTTCTCTCAGAATTCTAAACCCAAGGTCACAGGTCAGTTGGCAGTTATCATTTTAGATATTGTTTATGTTATCTTCTTGGCCCACATGATATGGGAGTTTTTGACACCTGGTCTAATACTGTACTTGACACTCTCCCACCTCTGCTCATAGTATTTCTTCCACCTGGAATATCACTGCACTTGTTTCTCCAAATCCCTTCTTGAGTATAGTTCAAATGCCATCCTCCCAATATGCCTCCTTCATCTGTCTTAAAGAAGTAGTGTCTATGTCCGTGAAAGTGCATTATGCATTTTAGCAATACAGGCACAGTACTCTCAATGCAATGGGACAAGGAAGAGACAGAAATTCCCTTAGGGGGTCTTACCCAAAACCACAAGAGCAAAATGAATGTGCACTTTGAAAAAGCGCCTTTGATGCTCCTGATAGAGACCTTGCCCAAGTGGGCAACTGCTGCTACTGCCACTTTTGACTCTGTGTGTTGTTCTCTACTTAAAAGAGAGCAGCAGAGTATAAAATTAAGTGCTTGAGAACTGGTTCACAGTGGTTGCCTCTAGGGAAGAGAAAGCAGCAACTGGGATGGGAGAGAAACCTAATTTTCTGCACCTGTATCTTATGAATTTTTTTCTTGTCCACACATTATCGATTAAAAATTAACAAGAGTGGGGAGGGAAAAAGAGTGCAGGTCTAGAAGTTGTATAATCCTTGATTTCTTATCCAATTCTTCCACTTACAAGTTGCATCTGATTTGGGGCAAGTTATTTTACCTGCTTGATGCTTAATTTTCTCATATGAAAAATACGAAGGAGGAAATGCTGCAGACCAACAGAATCATCGTGAAAAATGAAGAACATATATTTAGAGCAAAGACCAAGCCCTGGTGATGGTGTAATGGCAACACTACTGCAGCCCCTGGAGAGTCCTGCACATCCCACAACCTTAAAATTTCATTTTCTCATTACAGAAGGAAAGGGAAAATCACATTTTAAAGTTCTCTGGCTCAGGGAACATAATTCAGGGGAGAAATGAAGTGAAATCTGTCAATTTGTTCTGTCAAAACCAGAGGACAGACCTGCCTGCTATTTCTGCTTCCCATACTGTGCATATTACTAATGCTCATTTGTATTACAATTGATGGCCAGCAGAAAGGTCACAGAATGAGCTTAATGCTCTTCTCTCATAGCACTGTGATTAT